AGCTATCTCAAAAAATAAAACATTTATTGTCAAGATGTACATTCAACAAAAGAGACTAGATCACAAAAGAAGCCAGTTTGTTGTCTCAAATTCAAGGTATCTCCAGTGCTGGGACTTTGCTGTTTGTTCTTTCCTTCTGTTTATGTCTTCTTGTTCCTCATCTCTGACAAACTCATTTGCTTTCTCTTTTTCCGAGTGACATTCCAAAAGGAGAAAATCTGGCTAGTGTCGCTAATTACCATTGCCCTTGGTTTTCAGGCCAGTCTTCATTATGGCTCAATGGCCAGCCTATGAATTGGCTGCCCTCAAGTCAAATAATTTACTACCAATCTAGTAAGCAGCAACTCTTTATTTAAGGAACTATGTAGAGGTCACTTGTGGGTGGGACTGATACCCTTCGAAGGTGGTGGTGAATAACAGGCACCATGGTGAACATGAATAGTGAACATCCATGTGACAAACAATAATTGAGAGAATATAATGGGCTAATACCTACTAAGCCCTCGACTTCCAGGAAGTTCCCATCTCTGTCCCTCAGGGTCCAATCCATGACAGCATCTACAAGGACAGAGATCCCACCTAGCATATCACAGGGAATTAATATCTTGGTCTTATGCATGACAAGAAGGGAACTGAAGGAGGAAGTAAATAGCAGGACCTAGAGAGACAGAGGGTTCTAAGAGAAGTCAGTTCCATGAATTGCTCTGGTTGGATTTTTGCCAGGGTTCTGGGTTGTCCTTGATGTACTCACTGGTATCATAGCCCGTGCACCCAAATGCATTCTTTCCTGTCTTTGTTCCAGCTGATGATGCCCCAAATCATGCCCATATCTATAGGTTCATTAGTTGGGAACCAGACAGACCTGGGGTCTATCTCTGGCTCAGGTGTGTGTCCTTGAGCAAGTCACTTAGCTTCTCTGGGCCTCAGTATCCTCATCTATAAAATTACACTAAGAAAACCTACCGCATACATTCCTTATACATGGACCACTATGTTTGGGAACACTCTTTCCATTGCTATTGGCATGTGATTGAACAGTATTTGACTCTTAAAAGCAGTTATCATTCCTTCTGGAATAGAGAATGGATGAGGACTTGGAAAGAAAGGAGGGGGGACTTCTGAGGCATTGCTTGCAGAGCAGAAGTGTGAAGGTAGAAGGGGAAAAGTATCAGGGTCTCTGAGGTCACGGGCTCCAGAGATAGTTTCTCACACAGCCATCCTGGAGACTGGCTGGTGCTCTGAGGGGAGACAATCAAGAGTTCTAACGTGAGAGTCCAGGCTAGCATTGACTTAGGGAATCCTTGGCTGATGTAGCTCTGATGGGGCGGAAAGGTCCTTTCCCACACACTGCTGAAGGGCTTTATCCAGCATTCTGTTACATTGCTGGGAACTCAGGAGCCCAGACACAACACTGTGGGGAGATTCCCCTTTCCTCCTCTAGATGCCCTATCACCAGATGGAATGGCCTGATGCCCAGAGCAGCACAGGTAATTCAGGAAGAAAGGCATGACACTTACAGGGCACACAATTGGGCATAAATCTGTTTTCAAGAGCAAGGCCATGTGACAGCTACAAAAGCAATGATAGGAGAAAGCAGGGGCCGAGAATGGGTTTATACGATTGTCAGGTTTCCCCTCCAAGGACCATTTTGGGGTAGGACAGGATCTTTTGGGCTACATAAGCCTTAAAGTTCTTGGATAATTCAGGATAGGAAACGAGGGGGTATTGGCCATTCTGCTAATCTGGAGATGTGGGTGCTGTAGAGAGTTTTAATCTGAAAAATCAAAGTGATATAATCCTTATGCAGCTCCCCCACTCCATAGGGAAAGAGGTCATTGTGTTAGGATTCTGAGGAAACTACAAGGACATAGGCCTGGAAGGGATGGTCCTATGGACTTTGTACACAGCTCTCCAGGGGTTGGAAGTCCACTCGGGGACTTTCACTGTATCAGGTCCACGTAGGGAGTGCCCAGTTATCCTGTTTCATTTGGGCTCATCACCCTAAAGTGGTCTAACCCAGATATCATCGTACTGTCAAAGAATCTAGAGACTGCATGGCTCAATAGCTGCCTGTGGGAGTTTGAAGTTCACATGCAGCTTTGCCAATAACAAGACACAACAGAGCATACTCAGAGCAGTGGGGCTGAGTGAGCTGTGAAGGAAAGACAGTTTCCATTCAGTCTGGAAGCTGATCAATTTCCCCACCTGTGCTAGTCTTACCTTGGTACCTACTCCATCACTTGTTGTATATCTGAAGGTTCATCTTCAAATCCTTTGCCCAAACTTAAGATATATGTGACAATATTCATTTGCAAGAAGGAAAATCATAATGAAGTTAAAGCTCAAATTCTGTTCTGCACACAGCTGTGCTATTAATTTTGGCATTTCGACTTTATTCATGAACCACTTAACTCCCCACACAGCAGGATGTTTTGGGTGACTATAATGAAATTCATATAAAAAAAAACAATTTAAATATCAGTCTAATTCATATAGATTAATTTTGTTCAAGTATAATTTAGGTTTTCTTGAATTTGCATTATGGAGTTATTATTTTTTTTTGTAAAATAAATTTTCCTTCTCACTCTTCCCTAGCTCTACAGGGAAATAGACAAGATATGGTCATCTGGAACTTCCATTACCATCAATGGAAAATTCTAGAAGCTATTATTTAATGAACTAGTTCCAAGTGAACGGGTTATTGAATAAAGGAGGAATTGCCTTTGGGGAGAGATTTTGGAATGTAAAGAGTTTAAATCTGAATTGGGAACATGAGTGAGGAAAACATGACACTAGAATGTTGAGCATGTTAGTGTTAGGTTGAGGTCAGCATGTCATTCATGACCCTACTGAACAAAGGATATGAAGAAAAAAAGAACTAGCATTCATTTTTATTTATTATGTGCCAGGCACTGCACGTGGTGTTTTGAATACATTGTTTTTTGGGGTTATGTTTATTTTTCTATTTTTTTTAAGATTTTATTTATTTGGCAGAGAGAGAGGGAGCACAAGCAGGGGGAGTGGCAGGCAGGGGGAGAAGCGGGCTCCTCACTGAGCAAGAAGCCCAATATGGGACTCGATCCCAGGATCCTGGGATCATGACCTGAGCTGAAAGCAGATGCTTAACCGACTGAGCCACCCAGGCATCCCTTGAGGTTATGTTTAAAGCTAACCTCTATGTTGCCTCACTTACCCTATTAAGCATAATAATAGTATTGGCATCATAGAATGGTAAGGTAATGTATGAGGCCAACCTTTGGTCAAGTGTTCATCTTTGTTTAATTGACTGTGGATTGGAATAGGTAGATAGGACAGAAACCCATTGGTAGAGACGCCACCATGTGCATAGGGAGTGAAGCGAAGGTATTTCTAGAGGAAAGAGAATTGTGGTGAGCTCACAGACTCTAAAAGTTGCCTTCTAGAGTAAATCTGACATGGCTCTCTAGTCCTTAGTTTCCTCCTCCATAAAATTGGGGTAATAATAAGACCTTCTTCTTAGGATCACTGTGAGGATGAAGTGAGAAATATAAAATATTTTAGAAAATGATTATGCATAACCAACTCTTTCCAGTCACACTTCAACCAGCTAACTCTTGCACTTCTTTCAGGTTCCACCTGAGCCACCACTTCTTTTAAAAATCTCTTAACTCCCAAACTCTAGATTAGTTTCCCCAATAGGTATGTTCCCTTTTGTTCCTATGTTCCTCATAGGAACCCCTATGTTCCCTTGTCATTACCCAACATGGTGCTTATCACACTCTACTATAATTGTTTGTTCAATTATCCACCTCTAGAATGAGTATCTGAGCACCTGGGCAAGGAATAAGTCCTACACACTATTTTATCCCCAGTGCCCAGAACAGTGCTTAGTTGACACTATGAACTTAATAAATATTTGTTTTATAAGTTGAACTCTCATTATTGTTCAACTCAATAACACTTGTTATTGTCATTTTATAAATGAGGAAACTGAATTTAGAAAAAGTTAAGTAACTTACTCTAGGTTACCCCTTGGGTAAATGGGAGGGAGCAAGATTTTTACCCGGGCTCGAGTCCAAAGACTCTGCTTTTCCCACTATGTCATGATGCCTCATTAGGCTAACATTTGTTGAGCATTTCTTTCTATGTGCTGGGTGTAACACTATACATTTCCATATTACCTCATTTAGACTCCACAACAATCTTTTGATGAAGGTGTATCAGTTTGTCATGTGAAGAAACTACGTCTTGAAAAGTTATATGCCCAAGGTCATGTGGCACAGCTAAGATCCAGCCTCCCCTACCCTACCCTTCCCTTCCCATCTGTCATCATGAGTTGGGTATCCAGCAAGCCCCAACAGCCAGGCCAGCAAACCCCAACAGTCAGATCCAATATGAAAGATCACGAGGCGTAAATGGATCAAACTTCTCCTGAAATGTTCTGACAGGCTTTGTTGAGCTCTGGATTTTGCCTTGCTTTCCTGTCTCCCAGCAGCAGTGCTGTGCTGTTCTGGTGAGCTATTTATAGACCACCTGAACTATGTTTCAGTATAGTTCACATGTGTCTGTTGCAAAGTATTGTGGGAGTAATTCCTGTTTCAATGGCCAGGGAAAATTCTGGGGGCAAAGGAAAATAAAATAACTGGGGGACAAAAATACACTGCTTAGAGTGTTTGAAATTTGTTTATAGATGCATTTTTCTCTTTCCTCTTTTTAATGTTTCTATCTAGTAACCAAATATTTATTAAAACCTTTGGCAAAGGGAATACCTTATTCAAATAATGCCCTTTAGGTGATATGCTATTTTATAAGTATTGCACAAACTTGCTTCCAACCCTCGTCTTTTCATGGTTAAAGGAAAGGAAGATTCAGCACCATATTTGAAAAACAATAAAGAAGTAGGAAGCATCTCCTCGGCAGTCGGTTCCTATTATGCCATCTGTCTTCTCTTCAGCTAGTAAGATGCAACTGGAAGTTGTAAAATAATTGTTGTTTGGGGAAACAACAATAACCATACTCACGTATATCAAAAACATCATTGGTTAGGAATGAAATAGTGGGGCGCCTGGGTGGCTCAGTCGGTTAAGCGTCCGATTCTTGCTTTTGGCTCAGGTCATGATCTTGAGGTTGTGCGATCCAGCCCTGCGTCAGGCTCGGTGCTCAGGGTGGAGTCTGCTTCAGGTTCTGTCTCCCTCTCCCTCTGCCCTTCCTCCTGCTCATGCTCTCTCTTTCTCTCTCAAATAAATAAATAAAATCTTAAAAAAAAAAAAAAAGGAAATAGTGACTCCAGCTCATCAATGCTGATCTGGTATAAAAGGCTAACCTAGAATCTAAACCATCATTTCTCTGGCATTATCAAGAATAAAATAAAAAAGGAATGACCAAATTCTGCCCTCAAATTGTCCCTCAAGAAGAAAAGACAGCCAAGATACACACCAAACTCTTAGAATGCCGTCACTCACTGACAACAGGGCAGAGGAAAGGATTCTAAAATAGGGTTAAGGAGACCTGGTGTCTTGGTCAGTTCAGGCTGCTATGACAAAGGGGCTTAAACAGTAGACAGGGATTTATCACAGTTCTGAAGTTTGGGGGTGTGAGATCAGGATGCCAGCATGGGCAGGTTCTGGTAAGAGCTCTCTCTCTGGCTTGCAGACAGCCGTCTTCCTCACAAGACATAGAGAGTAATTATATTTCTCCTATCTCTTCTTATAAGGACACTAATCCCATTCATGAGGGCTCCACCTTCATGACCTAATTAACTCCCAAAGGCCCCACTTCCAAATACCATCCCACTGGGGACTAGGCTTCAGTATGCGAATTGTGGAGGGACGCAAGAATTCAGTCCATGGCAGCAGGGTTCTAGAACCATCTTGGATGCCAACTTGCTCTGTCACACCCCTCTCTGGGCCACAATTTCCTCACCTGCAGATGACCTCTTTCTTCTCTTAGGGAATGTTGAAACTTGAATGCCAAGGGAAGATAACCAGTAGTAGGAACAGAAATGTGGATACTGAGGAAGAAAGGGCAAGGGCTTCTCAATGCATGCAGGGGGAGTCTTCAGGGCAAATGGGACTTAAGATGAGTGGAAAGTCACCACCCTGGGAAGGAAGACCAACATGTGAGGAGTATCCCTACAAAAAGCAAGGTACCTATCTGGAAGGAGAGCACCAGGAGGTGTAAGAGAGATCAGGGAGAATCAAAGAACTCCTTGGCTCCCTCCCATAATTCACCCTCTATAAAGTCTGCACATACATTTTTCTACCATCCAATAAGATTATATCACTTCCTTGCACAGAATCTTTCAATGACCACCTATTGCCCTCAATATTAAAACAAAACAAAACAAAACAAAAAAACCTACTACACTTCTTACACACAATACTTTAACCTTGATTTCAAGATTCAATAATCTCTGAAATCCAAAGTTTTTTCTTACATATTTGGCAGCGAAAGTTGATCTAAACTAACATAAGGCCCTTTATGTTCTTTCTTTCTTGGGTATGACTATTCAGTGTCAGAAATATTAATGGGATTGTCCCAGGGTGCTGCCTCAGGCCCTGCTGGGAGATATACAGTATAATTACTGTATTATATCCTAAAATCTGAAAAATTCTAACTCTAAAAGCACATCTGGCCCCAAGGTTTCTGGATCACAGGTGTGGATTTGTGTTTTCTTATCAAGATAAATATAGTCCCCAGTGGCTAAGCCCTTGCCATCCTCACCCTCTACAACCTCACACCCATCTATCTCCACCATGCTGTATTCCAGACATTTTGAGTCCCCCTCATCACCCTGTGCTACAGTTTTGCACCCCACTATGGCTTTACATGAACTTTCCCCGTGGCACAGAGGATCTCTAACTCACCTCTTCATCTAGACAAATATTCTGCACCTTGCAAAGCCCATTCCAAAGGCTCCTTCTTCTGTAAAGCCATCCCCAGCCTGCCCTAGTCCCTGTCCTCTCCTGTGTTCTGGACAGACTTAGCAACTAGCTCTTTTAGGTACTTAACCATATGCACATTATAGCATGGACCATGTTGATCATGACCATCAGTTTACAGGTCCAATGTTCCTCCTCTGGTCTGTAGGATGCTGAAGAGTAGGACTTCCTTACTGAGCTCTGACTGAGCACCTGGCAGAGCTCCTGGCACTAGGAAGCGCCTGGTGATTTGAGGTAGGCACTTTGTAAAGAGCAATCCACCAGTCTATCACGCCATGGAAAGATGCTTCAAGGTCATTCTGATGCAGGACAAATAAGGAGACTGAGAGGCAAAGGCAGAGCTCTCTTAACTTCCTTCCCAGAGCACAGGACTCCTCATTCTCCCGCATGTGCTCTGGTCCTGCCCCATCTGCCTCTCAGCCCATACCAGCTGTAGCAACTCCAGGACACAGAGCATTCTACCACACTCTCCCCAGAGCTGCAGAGGGGACACATTCCCCTCTCCATGCCCTCGCAAATAAAGACAAAGACCAAGTTGTCCTTCTGCCCAGGGGGCTGGGTATGCAAATGAGACCGTTCTTCAGGAGCAAGGATAGAAAATCATTTATGGCCACAGTTCTGAGATTCAAATATAGATGGGGTAAGCAATAATCACGAGAACAACAATGATACTGACCTAGAGCATCAAGCCTTGTGAAGGACTTTTACTTAGTTTTCTCATTTGAGTAAATGCTCACAAGAACCCTGTATGATAGATACTGTTATTGTGCTCAATTAATAGATGAGGACATGAAGTTTCAGGGAGAATAAGCATTAGCAGTAAAGACACAAAAGTTAACTGAAAAGAAGCTGGGGTTAAAAGTAGATTTACAGAGAAAACATTCAAATTTGAAGGAGAGAGTATTGGCCAAAACCATAAGCAAAAAAAAAAAAAAAAGGACTTAAATCTTAAATGTCAGAAAATATTGCCATACTGATGGCAGGATAGGGGTGTTATATTTCTACACATAGAAGGGTCTAGAGCTTTGATTCTAAGAAAGAGAATATGGGGCACCTGGCTGGCTTGTTGATACTCAGTAGATTATCCAACACTTGATCTGAGTATCCAATACTGAGTTCAAGTCCCACATTGGGTATGGAGCCTTCTTTAAAAAAAAGAAGAAAGAGAAAATGGTATAACTGCATTAAAACTGGCATTAGAAAAAAAAAAAAAAAGCTGGTTGAGGGCTCCATGGCACCACAGAGCTAAAGTTGATGAGACTTATGATTTCCTTGAGATTAAAAGCAATATACCACTACTACAGAAAATACAGAAAAACCAGAAAAAAATTGAAAAAAAAGGACATTCTTTAAAACCAGTCTAAAGTCTCATCATACAAAGTCAGCCCTCCCAGTTATTTACAATACAAATTTTTATTTTAAGGGATTTTTTAAAACATGGGTGTTATCTGTTAACTTTCTTCTCATCAGTGAATGAAAGTGATTATTTTACTACACCCTCATCAACATCAGATATTTTTATTTCATTTTAAATACCAGATAATTTAATGGGGAATCTTTGAAAGGAGAAAATAAGCCCTCACTATTGTTTTCATTTGCATTTATTTGGTTAGTCTTGGAAGTTAAAAAAAAAATGTTTGCAGTTATTTGCCAATATACTTCATATTTGCGTTTCGCCTATTTATATCCTTTCTCCATGTATTTACTGGGGTCCTGGTATTTGTGTTATTGAATCTATATGAGTTTTATATTTATTAAAAGAAGTTAGCCTTTGTCAAACTTCCTATAACATCATCTCTAGTTTTGTTGATTGCTTTTTAATCTTGGCGATTTTTTTTGATGTACAAAAGTTTTAAATTTTTATGTAGTCAGATCTATCAATCACATCCTTAGTGATTTATTCCATCAATTCTAAGCTTAGGAAACTCTCCCCCTCAGGAGGTTTGATAAATATTCACATCCATTTTCTTCCAGATTTTCTAACAGTTAAGGTTTTTAAATATTTAACTCTTTAATCCATCTGGAATTTATTTTGATGTTCCTAGTGAGGTAAGATATGTTCAAAATTATTCTAAAAAATAATAAAACACTTAACGCCTCACATGTTCAGCTGATATTAGCATAAACCTTGAAGGCCAAGTAGTACCAGCTTCAAAGGCTGCAAAATTCTTTTTTTTTTTTTTAAGATTTCATTTATTTATTTGATAGAGACACAGCGAGAGAGGGAACACAAACAGGGGGAGTGGGAGAGGGAGAAGCAGGCTTCCCACCAAGCAGGGAGCCCGATGTGGGGCTCGATCCCAGGACCCCAGGATCCTGACCTGAGCCGAAGGCAGACGCTTAACGACTGAGCCACCCAGGCGCCCCAAAGGCTGCAAAATTCTTAATAGAGTTTAGGACTTCCCCCCCTTAATAGTACAGCGTACAAAATACACACACTTGCCAGTCATTGCTCCAAGTGAGTTTATCAGCAAGCTGCACACCCAACATATGGTGTCTTTTTCATTATTAAGAAAAGTAAGTAATAAATAGGAACTGGGGCTCCCACCAATCATTAGCAAATCCTCCAAAGAAAATTAAGCACATATTGGAGTCTTGTCCCCAATGGACTTGTGCAATCTCTCTGACTGAATCATTTCACCAAAGAAAACTTTCCTTTCTTCCAATCACAGCCTCTCGTTAAAAGTACGCGGTGACTCATTCCAAAGAGCACATGCAGAAGAAACCAGAATACACGCATTTGATTTCTCTCCATGCTGGGGAAACATTCCTGCTTCTCCCTGCCTTCCAGCCCAAAGGCAGCCACGTCTGGAGCTGCACTGAAAAAGATTTGTGGCTTATTGTCCTGATGGATGCCAGAGTAATAGAATGGCTCTGTACTTTGTCCTGGAAAGGCAGGCCAACAAGGCATTGTGCTATTGATGGCTCGCATTATAATGGAGAAATATTAGGGGGATATTTCAATAGCCACCCAGAGGAGAAGCGGTGGCTATAAGCATGCCACAGACTGCTTCCAAGGAGAGTAAAAGGGACATAAAAAAAGGGGCAGGGCAGGGGTGGAAACATTCAGGGAGGAGAAAAAAGTCCACTCAGAGAATACAGGTTAAGGCAAATCCAGTTTGCTAGCCTGGTTCTCTAGAGAAGGGCCATAAGGATTCCTGGTATGTGAACCCCACAATTACAGCATTATTAATTTATGCAGCTCTGTAGACCACACATGGGACTTCATGGTAATTAAGTTACAGATAAAGTCAGGCTAGTTTCCCTCTGAACATAAACAGTTGTGTTCTGTTTTACAGGTGGATTTTTAACCA